TCACAAAACTGAAATGGGAATGAGACGTTGGTAGATCAATAACAGAGCTAACGATAAAGAGGGTTTGTTTTGTTACGATAGAGGCAACCCTATTATATCTATGAGGCACAAAGTAAAAAATTAGTTTATGTTATAACGACTTCTCAACCTTAAAATATAATTAATTATGAAATGATGTAGGCATCAATTTATGGGTTAAATTGATTGATTTCGAGTAAGGTATTACACTAGTTTATTTGGTAAACATAAGCATTCGCGTCGGAAATTTGGTATAACAAAAGTACATATCAGTATTATTAGAAATAGGGAAAAAAAGTATAATTTACCATTATATGTAGTGACAACGATTCATCAAATAATCAACTTCTCAATCAAATACACTCAAATCAACTCCTAAATTCTACATTTTCAAAACTATTTGAAAATGAGGTAGACCTCAACTTACTTATGTTTATACCCTTCTGCAATTTTACCAATTCTCTTATATAAAGTTTAACCAATTCACGAAATTGCTTTACCCATCTCATAGCACTCCAACATTTTTTTAATAATGTTATTCTCATACAAGATCAACAAATTAGGAGACAACATAAATAGTATATCGCAATTCCTTACCTTAAATAAAAATTTCACCCACTTTTACTTCTATTAATTATTATCAATCTCTCCAATGGAGACCACCTCCTAATCATACTTGCTATTGCAAAAGGACATCTATCCTTTTGTATCAAGCAATGTAGTGTTAGTAATTGAATCTAGCTAGCTTATAGATTTAGACGAGGAACCAAACCCAAGGTAGTATGAAACGAGATTTAGGATGATTGTATAAACATAGTTGGTCGGTTGAACTTTAGTTTTGCTTGTATATTAATTCTTAATTACGGATAATTAGGTGGTGTGGATAAGATCTTAATCATATTTTAATAAAAAAAGGGGTTCTGCAAAATCGCCGCCTAAACAACGTGCATCAAGTAATCCTCGTTACATTCACAATAATAATAGTATTAGGTTTCTACATTTTCTCGTCCGCCCAATTCAGACGGCCAGCCCAAAAAAATATTTTTTCCGGCCAAGTCCGAGAGAATTGGAGGATATTGTTTTTAATTACTTTTCCACTTTGATCGGATGACGTGGCGCTGACTTTGCTGGCAAGTTGATGACTGCTAGGTATGACGTGTACGGAATTCTTATCTGGCAAGTGGCAAAGCTGATGGTTGCCGCCGGTGGATCGGCCACCAACCAAACGACGTGGCAAAGGGATTGACATGATTCAACCCGGTTTAAAATTGAACCAAAATCGGCCATAGAAAGAAGGTGGGTTTGGTTTAATTCAAAACGGAATCATATTTTATTAAATTCCATTTGATACGATCCAAATATCGAACTCATCCGGTATGGAACGAACACTTGCACATCCTCTAGCTGCTAGCAACAAGTTGACGAGGTTTTCACTAATGATATTTATCAAACCTAATCATCCCTCTAAGTAAAAGATTTAAAACAAAAACATTAATGGGTGGTTTGGGCGTTGGTGAAATATGGGTAACCAGTTTTATCAAAAAAACAATCTTCCGACGCCGCAAATCTTACCTATCTCTCTCTGTTGTATTAGTATATGATGTGTCCTGATTTGGACTGTAATTTCTTTTGTTTACTGTCTGAGAGAAGAAGAGGATGAAGTAGTTATTAGTTAAACGTCCCTATGTTCCACATTTACCATGACAGCAAGCAGCTAAGCTAGTGGTTTAGTTCTATATGTACAAAAAGGTCTTTGGAAGGTGTACCAATTGGAATTTGGCTGGTGTGCTGCATATTAGCCACAACCTGAGTCTCATTCAACCGTGTAGAGAGATTGAAGATGGGGTCCGACGAGAGGTCGGCTGGATCCGAAATATTTAAGGGGTCGGAGTTACTTTCGCCAAGCGTTTTATGTATTTCTGACACTACCCAGATACGATTTGTCAGAAGGTGTTTGACACTGTAGCTTTTGTCTAACTGACTCCAGACATGGAGATGTCGGCTTCTACAGGCTTTGCTCATTGATTTATTTCTTCTTCTTCTTAGGCTTTCTCTTGTGATTTTTGTTTACATGTTTTGAGTTTTGACACTTATCTCCGATCCGATATAATTAGGAAAGAATGTTCAAAATACTTTCATGTTAACGAAAAGGTATTTGTCAGAACTGTCGTCAACATCGAACGAGGCATTGAAGGTATTATTCTGTGAGAACCTCGCTTCTAGGGATTCTCGACACAGATCTTCGGCACTCGTGACAATTAGGGATTTAGGGTTTGAGAGAAAGAATTAGGGATTTAGATGAGATAGAATAGAATTGGGAATCGGCCTAAGCCTTGGATTGGGAGAGAATAGAAATTAGGAGTTGAGAGGATAAACTAGGGTTTAGGAGATTCTTCTGAATATTGTTCTTGATTGATTATGACGTAAACCCAAAGTACATATATATAGGAAATACTGGAAAACCCTAACGAATAACCTAATTGGACTAAATCTCTACTAACCATAATAATAATTATCCTACCTAATATAATAATAGAAACTCCAATAAATGTGTTTCTCACAATCCATCCCCCTTGAGACCAACCTTGACCTCAAGGTTGTAGTTGACTTCTACCTCCTTGACCTTCCGCTTTCTTCGTTTCCAATTGCGCTCAATCCCTTGAGTGAACTCTTCTCGCGCAACTCCCACTTTCCTTGTCTCTTCTCCACCTACGTGACATGTGTCACGTTCTTCATAGCCGAACAATTCTTCCTCTTCTTTGTCGAAATCTACCAAATAAGAATCAGAGAATTGTTCTTCTTCTTGCTTCGCTTCACCCACGAACTTGAAATCTTCAAAGAATAGCTCCATAAATTTCTCCATGGACTTGATGATGAAAACAAGCTCCCAAACTTCCTTTCCTTCTCCTTTGGGTCGGCCCACATAGACTTGAAAGAAGGATGCACGGCCCAACCCCATGTAAAGCTTCCTTGGACTATGTTTCTCCTTCTCAACTTTGCGTGTGCCTGACTCACTTACAAGTCCATCCACCACCCTAATAACTTCTTTCAATCTTGATTTCTTCAACATAAAGTCCAAGTTGGACTCAATCTCTTTCAGCTGAAGCGGCCCACAATGCTCAAGCCTCGGCCCATCTCTAAACTCATGTGTAGCCTTCTCCAGCTCAAACTGCGGCCCATTCGGTGGGTCATACTGGGCCAATGATTCTAATTCTTCCCCAGCCCCGTCCAATTCGAGCCCGTAGTTTTGAAACCCTTGCTCGGATCCTTCACAACTTGGGACCCAACCATCATGGCCCAACAACAATCCATCATTTCGGCCCGACGAGAGTCCGACCCACTCCAACCTGGTGGGGCCTAGGGTTTCAGAGAAAGGGCACCCGCCGCCCTCCAACTCCTTCTCTCTCACCGGCCGCTTCTTCCCCACGTCGGCCTCAACAGCGGACGGCGCCAACCACACGAACGGAACCTCCGCCGTCTCCGCCGTCTCCGGCTTCTCCTCTCTCGGCGGCGACGCGCACTCCTTCCGACGTCCTGGCGGCCAGCCCAATTCCACCGCTGCCTTCCCCTCTCTCTCGTCTTCTGGCGGAAGCTTCTTCTCCGACTCGTTCTCCTCTGTTGTCACCCGACGACCCGGAGGTTTGCCCATCGCTGATGTCGTCTTTGCCTCCGCGACGACCGACAACGCAGCGGAAGTCGTCGTCATTTCGACGACCCGAGGCACGGCGCCGATCCCGTGCTCTGCCTCCCGATCCACTGTCTTCAGCTTCAGCCCCGCCGATCTCCTGCTCGCCTTCACGACTGGACCAGCTGTAACCCGTTGCTCCAGTTGCTCACTTCGCCGCTCCGACAGTCCACTTGACGGCGTCTCCGTTTTGACCGAGCAGAATTCTGGACTACTCCATGCCCGGATCTTGGTCTTCGAGGGTGGAGCTCTTCTCATGGCTCCCTGTTCGCCGACAATTGAGTCCAATTGACGCAGCTCGGGCTTCTCAGATTCCAAGCCATCTCCAGGATTTTGATTCTTCTTCTTGAATTTCCAATGGTCATTTGATGGATCCAATTGGACTAGCGTTGATGATGGAACAATGTTGGTGGCGATTGGTGACGACGTAGGGAAGGAGATTGAAGCTGCAGCCTCTGCGGTGACTTCTTCTTCCTCAATCAACGATTTCCGCGTATCCTGCGAGATGATGATTTTCGGAACCTTGATGGTGAAACTGCCTTCTCTGGAGCTAGCGCGACATTGTGAGACATTGTAGATTTCTCCGAATTCGATTTGCTTTTCGAAACGGATCCATCTGCATTCGTAACCCAACGAACGCTCTGCTGTAATGGTTAGCACATTTGATTCAATTCTTTGTACATCTAGGTGCTTAGCTTCGAACCCAGGCAAGGAAAAGAATAGCTTGATGCGATGCGGATATTCCTGTTTGAAGATGTTTGGCTCGAAGTCTTCATAGATGCGCTCATCCCCGGTTGAGAGTTGTGATAAACTCATATTCGCAACCGGAGCTCTGGTACGAGTGCCTGTAACCGGGCTCTGATACCAATTGTGAGAACCTCGCTTCTAGGGATTCTCGACACTGATCTTCGGCACTCGTGACAATTAGGGATTTAGGGTTTGAGAGAAAGAATTAGGGATTTAGATGAGATAGAATAGAATTGGGAATCGGCCTAAGCCTTGGATTGGGAGAGAATAGAAATTAGGAGTTGAGAGGATAAACTAGGGTTTAGGAGATTCTTCTGAATATTGTTCTTGATTGATTATGACGTAAACCCAAAGTACATATATATAGGAAATACTGGAAAACCCTAACGAATAACCTAATTGGACTAAATCTCTACTAACCATAATAATAATTATCCTACCTAATATAATAATAGAAACTCCAATAAATGTGTTTCTCACATATTCCCTCAATTAAAAATGGGTTCGACTCTATGAAAAATTACTGTGGTTGTTTTTTTTATCCAAAAAAAAATGTTGTAGTTAATTAGACTACTTGAACAAGCACCCTAAAGGTCAATGTTGGTCGTTGGATGGTAAATTTCCAACTTGTGGCATTACATCTTCTCACAGGGATCAGCAGTCTTTGTGACCACAACAAATTGAGAATATACCTTTCTTTCGAAAAAGGTCAACAGTATGGAAAACTCTCTTTTGAAAAACAAAACCTTTTCATCTCCTTTATCTTCCTTTCAAAGATGCAAAAAACTGACTGGACTTGATTGCATTTCAACATAAACAATGATCAGGGCTTCATTCAAATTCATGCTCATGTAAGGAGAAGCCTTGCAGAAGGAGGTAGCATCATCATAAGCAGCAAATGTATAATACAACAGCATATTGTACAACAGTGTTCCGCATACTTTGAACCAGTACTGAACTGAATGAGAAACAGAACGGACTGTAATTACAAGACCAGGCTTTTTGTAGTCCCTTTTTGTGTAGTTCATATTGAATCAAATCCTGGAAGGAATGAGGGGGATGGCGTTCTGCAGGTAAGCACTTGCTGCTGCAACTCCACTCCCAAGCTTCACCGGGTACCCGACATCCTTCAGTATCATCTCCACTCCAGCTAGGCACCCCAGAAGTTGCAGCTGATCGTTCAAACAAAAAAGGGGAGCAAGAACTTCGATAAGAATACACGATTTCGATAGAAAGAAAGGAACTGTTTACATAATGATGTGTGTAGTAGAGAGATGTACATACCTCATTCAAGTTGCCCAGATGGCCTATTCTGAAGACCTTGCCAGCAACCTTGTTAAGCCCCAGGCCTAAGCTGAGGTTGTACCTTTTCCATGCCCTCCTAACTATCTCTGCACTGTCAATGTATGGAGGAACCATCACAGCAGTCACTGTGTCACTCACCCATTCCTCCTTCTGGGTGCAGTTCTTCAATCCCCATGCCTCCACTGCAAGCCTGCATCGCGCCATTCATTCATTCATTCATTCATTCATTCATTACCGCTACAATTACAATGCCACTCTAATTGCAACAACAACAACAACAAAAAAATGAAAAACCTCATTCATAATAGTTAGAATGAGAGCAGATTCTTCACCTAGTGGCTTTGCCCAAGCGGGCGTGCCTGGCAATGACATTGTCGAGCCCTTCCTCGAAGAGAAGGTCCAGAGCTGCTCTGAGCCCATACAGCAGCTGTATGGAAGGTGTGTATGGCCAGTAGGTTCCCATCTTGTAGAACTTCAAGTAGTCACTCCAGTCAAAGAACACCCTGTAAGATTTGGCAGTCTTTGCAGCCTCGAGAGCCTTAGGGCTTGCACACACAATTCCCAGCCCAGTTGGTAGGGAAAGAGCCTTCTGAGAGCCAGTCAGTGCCACATCCACTCCCCACTCATCCATACGGAAATCAAGTGCACAGATTGAGGACACTCCATCCACCAGGAGCAGAGCCGGGTGGCGGTAATCATCTGCACTCCAACCACACAAAACAAAAAACAAAAAGACCCTCATTTTCAGGTACCAAGATAAGATGCAAAAGAAATTAATTGCAAGTTGTATAATAGTCCTGTATGTGACACTCACCGAGAATCTTTCTGACCTTGGCCAAGTTGTTGGTGACACCAGTGGCAGTCTCATTGTGAACGATGCAAATCGCCTTGATGGTATGCGAAGGGTCGGCAGCAAGCTTAGCTGCGAGGACATCGAGCTTGGCACCTTCACCCCAATCGCTCTCCACAACATCAACATCGAAGCCCAGGCGCTTCTGCTGATCAACCCACAGCAGGCTGAACTGGCCAATCAGGAACGAAATCGTCTTGTCCCCTGGCGACAGAGTGTTGGTGAGAGCACTCTCCCATGCCCCCGTACCTTTTAAGGAAAGCCAAAACCAAACATTGGGTTATGATCAATATGATGACAATATTTCCATTCCCAACAGCAGACAAAGTTGTATGATTTTTACCGGTGGTGGGGAAGAGGAAGGGAGTGCCGGTAGTGGTCTTGAAGATCTTCTTGACGTCCTCGAGGAGTGTCTTGGTGAGAGCAGGGACGGCAGGGGAGCGGTAATCCTCGTTGTTTCGGTTCATGGCGCGAAGGACCGGCTCCGGGATGTTGACCGGACCGGGGACGAACAGGTGGTTCCTGCCGGGTGCATATGTGTAATCCATGTTTTCACAGAGTAATTATCTTTTCAGGGCTCACTCTCCTTCCGGCCCTGCCAAAATGAGCAGCCAAATCAGGACACAGAAATGATAATCTGAAGTGGGAAACAATCACCACAGAAATGACAAAAAAAGCATCAGGCAAAAAAGCTTTTTGCTGCTTCTCCTTTTGGAATTGAAGTTGACAGGATCCAGAGTTTACGTAAAACAGCAGTAACTACTTATTATGGAAGATCTCCCTCCGTCACCGTTCATTAACAAAAAAGAAAAAATCACGAGTAAGCAATATCAGCCTATGACTCGACGTTTTCAGGAACTGCGTCCAGAAAGAAGAAATAAAAACGGCTGCCACTAAGATACACGCTACTAAAGAACTCGTAGTAATCTATGATATGAAACTTGATAAGCCAGCCACGTGACATCCAATTCACAAACATTTTCTGACGTGGGCGCTGTTAGGAAAAAAGATTAATACATGGAAAATTATTAAGCGTCTATCTACATGTAAAATATCCATATATTTCTTCTCCCGGGAAACTAATCTCTCATTCGAATTAAATAACTTTTGATGTTGTCTTTTTTCATGTTAAGAAACTTCAAAAAATTTCTCCAAATTTTAGAAAAGTAGTTCAAACCCAAAGTGCAAGCTAACCCAAAGTTGATCCTTTTCACTGTCGGATTTATGTATTAAGTTGTGGCTCTTAGATTTTTATTTTTATTTTTGCAATTTCCATTTAAAATGTGTAACACTTGGTTCCTGACATTGCTAGATTATTTTTAGGAAGCTGTTGGTATTATGGAAATTAGAAAATGAAGAAATCAAAAGCCTCCTCTTGTGTCCAAATTTGTAATAAGCTCTTTTTCTCTCAGTCGTTTGTACCATGGAGGAAAATAGACGATCGGCTTTTAGCCAAACAAAAGGATCAACAATACGTGTATGGTTCCGTAACAGAAAAAAAAAAACGTTTTACGATCGCCCGGGAATACATGCAAATAGCACACAGCCAACACAGCAAGTGACATGCACAACATTAAGAATACATGCAAATAGCAGAAGAGTGGGAAGAACGGCGGCGTACCTATCGCCCGGGAATTCTCCGGCGACCGATGTGCGTGTTTTGGCGAGGGGCAAGCAATACACAAGACAAAGAGTGGTTATATTTAAAACAAGGCCAAACGGTAGAGAACGGAGGAGAGGGAAGTTGGGGATTTCTATATGTAAAAAGGAAAGGGAAGAAAGAACCACAAGCCTCGACTACACTAATCCAACAAAGTGGGGCCTACTCTCCCTTCGCAAGATCTCTCACTTGGGATAAGAATTTACCCGCGATTGGTCTCCTGCGGCTACCATCAATCCACCATAATATACACAATACAATAGTACGACATGCAACCTATTTCTGGTCTTTTCTGCTCTTCCGAATTTTTAACCGTTTACCACCTGAGGTGAATGCATCGTGAAATCAAGAGTGTATCGTAGGCACATACTTCACACTATTATGAATTATCAGATAAGGCGTCAAAGGTTGGAGCACCTTCCAATTGGTGAACTACGTACATAGTTGTTACTCCAACATCGACTTGCCGGGCCTGTCACAAATCCTAGTAGACGTTATCGACATGAAAGTTGTCCACAAAAAGGTGGTGTTTGTGACACATAAATCACACTGGTGTTAGTTCAAACCCAATCACATGCCCCCAACATGATGGTGGTGGTGGTGGTACGTTCAAATAAGTTGAATGGGGTCTAAATGGCCTCATTAGCTCATTTCCTAATAAGGGGAAACAAAACCAAAGAAGATGCAGAGAAACAGAATCGCGAAAAAGCAACCGTGTAAATTAGTAAATTAGCACAACATAATTGACTAATTACAAAGGTAAACTACCAACAATAATCAGGATGTAAAACCCTAATCTACCCAATGTGAAAACAAAAGGAGAGAGGGAATCGTGGAACAAAGATCGATCAACATGAGGTAGAGAAAGCAACTGGGGAAGATAACGTGATAACGGTGTGTATCAGCCACACCCTCCATCGCGGGAACTAACACCACACATAGACACAGCAACACTAGCAGCCAGCCAACATCTGTTTTTTCTGATAGTTGCTGATTCCTCCTCCCCTTTTTTGTTGTTTAGCAATAGGGGCATATATGGCCTCTTTGTCTCCCCAAGCTAGTTATCCATACTCTGAGGCTTCCAAGTTCTAACCTATTCTCTTCCTCCCACTCTCTCCACTGATTCCCAGGCCCACCTTTTTGTTTCTTTCCCTTTTTCCCTCCCACTTCCTAATATTCTTCCCGTAATAAAATATCAAGTTGGCTAAAACTGCAGTGCATTGCATTGCATGCCTTCTTGTACACATTCTAACCACACACAACTTAAAGCACAAAACACCAAACAAACAATGCTTAATACGAGTAAGCTTGGTAGCAAAACAACACACTCCTCTTCTAGCAGGTAACACCATAATACTATTCCTGAATTTGGCAGGTCTCGTTTTTATATTTGTCTTGACAGACTTCTACTCTCATTCATTCCTCATTCACAAGGAAGACTCGACCCGAAGTTAACGACCAGATTGTTAAATAACTTGAAGCAACCAATGCAACTAAAGTGTATATGGATATGGAAAGGGAAGGGGTACCTCTTTAGTAACCGATCGATGTGTGCTCGACCAGGCTCTGCTTACGGAACACAAGCCGGAAGCAGCACAGCAGCACCAGGTCAGCTGCATCACAGAGTTGGCAGCCTTATCCTTGGCCTAGAAGCAATTCACCACTGCATGGACTTCACAGAAGATGTACAATTGTCAGTAACTCAGTGCATCAGATTCCATTCATAAATCATAACACAACATGACAACATCAGATACCAAAAAGGCTAGGGATATAATTAGAGAAAGAGAGAGGGGGAGGACGGGGATTCATTCAGCCATTCATCCAGGTGGTAGATAAAAATGAGCTACTACTCTTCAAAATGGCACAAAATTGATAAAATGTACAACTTCTCTCCCATTAAATCATCATACATGTAAACTGTTCTCAGGCTACTCACTTCTCTGAGTTCCAGATCAAAGTGAGGAGTTACTAATCTCTTTTTCTAAACTCTTTACTATGTATGTAAAAACAAATCAATCCTCCATCACAGATTCTCTACCAAGAACTAGAACTGTCGCGCAAGCAAAACTGTTTCCTCCTGCTTATACGTCAAACCGACTATCAGATTTCTTCCCCCATCCAACCAGCCACCTTTCACAGTTTATGCCAGTTCCCCATCTCGCGGATATCTTCGGTATCAGCAACAAAAGAACCACGAGCAGTGAGCTCCAAAGGTTTATTTAATAGAGTGAAAAAGAATAGCACTGCCAGTGCCCCAAACGGCTGATGCAGTGTCCCCCAGTGGCTGAGCTTGTAATAATGTGACCAAAGAGGAATGCCCATGGGGGCATGATTGGTCTTTCACTTGAATCTCCTCATTCCGTCAAGCACTTGGGTTTAGTTTGTACCCTGACGGGAAGTTCTTTTCATCTTGGAGGAAAACCAGCCTGACGCATTCTGTAAGGCCTCCCATTACTGAGCTGCCTATTATCAGATGGTGCTGCACCAAGGATCCCCAATGAATTAGGGTCAACTACACGGTTGCCATTAGTATTCATCAACCGTGGTTGAGCTTGGGGGAGGGTATGCTGTGTTTGTAAAGGTATATCAGCTTCAGCTCTTCTCCGTCTTTTCCATGCTTCGAATTTCGCAGTGTCGAGACCTTTTGGAGTAGGATCGGACAATTGATAACCAGATTTCTGCCCTCTCTGCCTATCAGCATGACCTGAAAATTGAGGGAAATAATTTGACGAATCTCCATCTCCATTCATATACGAGGGTCCCACCCCTGCCTCTTCATCCAGCTCCTTTTTCAGTTTCGAGTATGTCTGTTCGAGTCTCTCTCCGGATAGATTTGAATAGGTTGAAACATATTTCCACAGCCTCATTGCTAATCCTGAAAAGAACATTCATTTCCAGAATTAAATAGATGACTAATAACTGAAGCTGAGGTAACAAAGGTTAATAAGCAACTAATTTAAGCAAAAGAAAAACGTACTATCTGGCTTATAAAGGTCTTCGTATTCTGATATTATTTGGTCGATTCTTCTTCCAATTATCAGCAAATAGTTCCGGATCTTTGAGAGTACCTGGATAAAATGGTTCAAGTCGAATGTAACGAGTGAGATGTAACATTCACATGAAACAGAATTACCACAATCAATTCCACAGCACACCTTTTCCTTTGGGAGGTCCGCACTGGTAGTCTGCAGTCTGTGGAGTCGCTTTAACGTTTTTATCTCATCAACCATGACATCATGGCACCACTCAGTCCATTTCATTTGCTTAAATTGCACGCTAAGTTCCTCATTATCTGACATCTCACCTTCCTCTTTCACTAGCGGCTCAACTCTCTGTTGTGGTTTCTGATTTTGCCTATTCCTGCTGCTATGGGTATTATTAACTGTCCCGAAATTAGGTTTCACCTTCTTGTCCTTCATTCGAAGTGCTGAAGAATTTACGAGAGGCCCAGTTTCCTTCTTAGAAGCCTTCCGTCCTGCTTTAACCTTGGCATTCTTACCCCCGGCAGCTGCAAGTTCCTGATACAGAAAGAAAGCATAGACTACAAAATTTTAGATACGACATGAGAAACATAACTAGATAAAACATATTCTATAGTTTAGCAAAAATATTGACACCAGTTTCAGTCTTAACCCATAAAATTATGCAGGAACATAACACACTCCAACCCATGAGCACCCGAAGAGTCAGGGAGTCACGAACTGCTCAGTGCGATAAGGGCAAAGGTTATGCACACAGTTCAATACATTACAAGGTGAAGAAGCAACAGTGAAAACTAACACTAAGGAGGGAAGATATGTAGCAAGGCAGTCCCTCGTCCAGTAACCACATTCATTTTGCACATCTAACAGATTTCAGACTCACCATCTCTAAGAGAGCATTAGCCCGGTCCCTCAAATTAGGGGCACGAGGAAGAAATGTCTCATGGTGTTGGAGTTCTGCTGGGGCGATCTTCTTGGAGAGGCAAAGCCTTTCATCTAATCTTATCTTCTCCCAGTTACCAAACCCATGGTGATATATGCCCAGAAGCAATCTTGCATCGTCAACTGAGGAAACAGGCACACAGATCACTCCACATACGAACAATTGCCAACAACTTCATAAGACGGTGACTGAAAATTGAATGAAACACATACTCTGATTCCAGCCACAGCCCTTGGACCAGTTTGAAGGTTTGAGATCTGACAACACACGGAATTGTGCAACAGGATTCTCATAACGGTTTATTCGTTTTTCCAGTAGCTGCAGTTCTTGAACACGAGTGAGCAAATCGTTGGCCTTCACCGAAACACCAAAAAAATCTAACAATGGCCCCTACACGAGAATGCATTGACAGTGTTAGCCCCAACCTTAAAAAAGATTCAATAAAAACAGAAGGTGGGATGAGCTGTGGCAATAAATGAAGACAAGAAAAAATTAATGAGGCACCTTCAAAGTAACCAACCTTTGGGTCCATACTTTCTACTTCACTAGCCTCTTTGCAACCATCTACCAAGGCATCGAAAAGCTCAATCTGTGCATCTTGTGGAGCTGCTGCAAAGGCTCCGCCAACTTCAGCAGCTATCAAATCAAGTTGGCTAAGATTCCCAAATTTCATTACCTGTCCCGGAATATTTAACAGAAAAATAATCAGTTTGAAAATACTGCATAAAAAAATAAACAGAAAGATAAGGCAACATCATTAACAAACTATACAGCATTTTAATGAATGCTAGATATACTTGACAATGCTCCAGAGAAGTGCTTGGCAATATTCAGATAGATGTCCAGAAAAGCCATAAACCCGCCAAGTTATTAGTAGCAGAAATTCCAAGGGTTTATATAAGCCAGCTCAGTCATTGTCAAACAAAAGGGATCTTATAATTCTCAGCTGAGTTCAACCAATGTATATTTCCTACAATAAACGAATACCACAGCACTTTAACAATAGCTCTTATGACTGACCCTAGGAGACTAGCACATCCTCCATTGAACCCTAAAATTCATTTTCTGGAACCTATTTGAACTGCCACAAAAAACCATGCATCTAATTTAACGCTTTTGACTTTACTAAGTAAAAAGCAACAAATTCAGCTGTTACCGCCCCTTGTGCAGCACAAGGATTCAGAATCAGATACTGGCATAAAGCAAGATGTCTCTAAAGACAACTACGAGCATACCGCGCGAGAAAAGCGTAAGGCATCCCTCTTAGACAGATTCCCATACGACCAATCTCTGACTTGAGCAGAAGCTCCATCAATCATTGACACCAATGGGGCAGAATGATCTGCTGCTTTTCTACGCTTCTGTGCTCTTTCCTGCGGTTCTGGTGGCTCAGAAGCTTTCTTTTTCCGTTTGCTGCTTCTCTCGGCTGGGTCAGTCTCAGCATAACTCTTCGTATTTCTTGCAGCACGCGGAGCTAAAGCATTCTGGAAACCAGGGAACGTAATGAGTCAACTAACTCTAGTTCAGGATAAAATTTCCAATTCCAAAAATTGGTAATCATAAAGCAAATGGATGTGAAAAGCAACATGCAGAAACTGGGAATGAAGACAAACACAATCCTAAGACAAATGAGAAATCTGCTTCTGCAGGTGACAACTGTATCTAGGAACACATGTACATGGACAGGGCCCCAATCCTAGCAGGGAAACAATCTAATATGAGTTGAAACTCATAAAGCATGTTTAGTTGAAATAAATAAATAAATAAATAATACATTGTACTAAACATTTTGTTATTCACTGACCAACTAGATTCCTTTGACCGAATGCACCGAATCACATTTCCCTTTCAGAAATGTTCAATAATAGGCTTCTGAAAGGCATCACAAGATAGGTCTGTATAGTCAGAATCTTGACCATAGGCATCATTTTCTTAGCTCATTCTATTCAGTGTTATAATATAATATATTTATTTCATCTTTTTCAGTCAAACAGTGCCCCTATAGTAAGTGACCATTGAGAAGCACAATATCCTCGAGGTGATTTAAAATGACTTAAGTGTGAGCATGCCAACTATTTTAAAGTTTTAGATTGTCATTGTATACATGCTTAGAGTCTTAACACTTAAATGGACACTCTAAATTGTCTCTGTCATTGATAATATATGTGTAAGAGTCGGCAACAGAAAAATCAGATGCATGTATAAAACGCAAATATGTGAGAGATCATACTTCAGCATCAGCTACAGCATCTGGTTTTATCCACCTACTCCAGAAACTTGTATCATCTTCCGCAGAACCAAAATTTGCAACCTGGAGATTATCAGCAGAAAATTTATTGCATGGTTAATCTGAAAGCATAAATATGTTGTACATCAAGTTAACAAGGCAGCAAAGCAAAAAAAACTAAGCATTAGATGCAGAAGAAATCAAACATGAATATCTTCTGTATAAAGGGTCTTGCCTTAAATGCACTCAACAGTTCATGCCCTTCCTCTTGTTCACCTTCCTTCTCTTCAACCTTCTCCGCTCTTTCCAGGATTTCATCAATATCCATGCTTAAGAGCCTTTTCTTGTTTTCTTCATCACTTCTTTCTTCTTTAAAGAGTTCCTCAGCCCCAAACCGCAAAATTGCAGACAGTTCATTCTGCAGATGTGGGAATAAGAACTTAATAATGTTGATAGACAGCCGCCAAGTGTACAAGTCTGTTCCAAGTTCCAACATATCCTTACTTTGTCAAAATAACTTCCCTTCTTTGCTTCTTTCTTTTCTAATCTCCCCTCAGCATTCAGCTTTTGGATAACCAAATGGTCAAGAACCTATAAAGATGTCATGAACCTTGTAAGATGGTAACCCATACACATGTACACTACTTATGCACATGCATAGATGGAATAAGCCAAGAACGAGAAAGGAAATCGTGAAGGATAATGGAGTATAACATAATATAAGCACACTACCATTTTCTTTTTAGCTCGCTCGAGGATATCCTCCTCAACACTTTTGCTTGTCACAAATCTATAGATGTTAACAACTTCTTGTTGTCCAATTCTGTGAGCTCTACTCATAGCCTGTAAATGACAACGTAGCAAGTTACGCTTGAAACATTCAGTAAAAGAAGGCTAATGGCACAACCTATGAAAGGAGGAGAAATAAGAATTTGAGATGCAATCCAAATCTAGACCTGTAAGTCGTTTTGTGGATTCCAATCTGAATCAAATATTATAACTGTGTCAGCCGTTGCAAGGTTTATACCAAGACCACCCGCCCTAGTTGATAGAAGAAAGCAGAAATCATCACTTCCAGGTGCATTAAAATGCTCCATTGCCTGATGACGCAACTCGGCCTTGGTACTCCCATCAAGCCTCTGAAATTGAAACCCTCTGTGTGACATATACTCGGCAAGTATGTCCAGCATTCTGACCATCTGCAGCAGCTCAGTCAAGGCTCAGCTCATTAACAAGTTAAGATCAAACAATAAATCTCTAATTGATAAGCATAATCAAACAATATACAAATGCAGCATTTTAGTACGCCACACCGCTTCAGCTTTGACGATAGGAATCAAAAAACAGACAGAGGGTAGGACACAGACAGCACCCAAGTCACAAGAGGAATGCAAAAAGAAGAGGCAGAATAGAAATGTATAGGTCCGAGTACATATAAGCTCAAAACATACTAACACAATAGAAACGAACCTGTGAAAAAATCAGAACACGATGTTTTGTCTCGTGCAATCGGACAAGCAATTTGTCAAGTATTACTAGCTTTCCACTGCTCAAGATAATTCTCTCCAATTTGCTTCCATCATCAAAGGTATCACCCCCATAACCATGGTCAGCACTTTCAAAGAGAAAGGGATGATTACAACATTTCTTCAACTCCACCACAATGTTAAGAAGTGACACCTGAAAATATGAAGAACAGAAATTGAGTAATAAATGGCAATTTTCGGACAGAAATTACTAGAGGATAGCATGACTGACATGCCTAAGGTTTCGCCCTGAGAAATTCAAGGCTTACTATTACTAACCATCAAAAGCAATTTTAATATCATGAAATAATTACATCTTTAAATGGAAATATACTGTCTATGCAAGCATTACACAAAAACATGCCACCACCAAGAAGGGGCAGCACAGGGTAACTCTAAAAATAGCTGACACACGACGAGTAGGAACCTGATTTCCACGAACTCCTTTGTTTAAGTCATGGAAGTTGCGTTCCAAGATCCATTTATAGTACCTAAGCAACATAAAGAAAAAGGGTTCACAAACTAAGCTGGAAGCATGATTATGCAACTGTATCAAGACAGCAGTACTCACTGTTTCTGTAGAGGGGACATTTCCACCCTCAAAATACGCTCAATTTTTGGAGGCAAAGATTTCTCCACGTCTTTAATGACTCTTCTGAGGATATGGGGCCTCAATTCCATATGCAGATTAGCAAGCTACAAAAATGACAAATTAGCCCAAATAAATGGAGCCAATGGAACCTTGCCTTCAGAGCAGTGGCAAATGAGACGACATTTCCATGCATTTATTCATACCTCATTTTCATTGAATGAACTAAGATTCTTGTAGTTCTGGACAAAATCATCTTTGTTCTTGAATTTATCTGGATCAAGGAAATGCAGCAAAGCCCTGGTATATTCGGACATCAAAACAATATTCTTTTTAGAAATGAAACATATAATTATTTTGGTATAATAGAGGAATGACACATCAGATTACAAGGAAAGAAGAACATGTCAACCAGAACCAAGCAGTGAAGTCCTTCAGTACATTACGTGCCAACAAATTATATCTTTAATTCAATCAACAGTCATGAAGTGTATATACCAAACAATTTCAACTATTTTGTTGTGATATGACACAGCAGACGACAATAAAGGATTATTTAGTAAATTACGCATGCTATCATTCACGCTCAAATTTCAAAACGAAGAACCGTATTATGGAAACCAGAAAAACAAATAGTTATACTTTCCTTTGACATGTAAAGAAAAGAAAAGCAAAGAAAGAGAAATACCCCCATAAACGAGCAACACAGTTCATAATCAATAAGATCATTTTTCAGGATTCATGTTGGAGTTAACTAATACATTTAACAGACACGCTTCGACTGAAAGCTGAAAACAAAAGCATTTGTTCTATCATGTCAATACCATAGTTCTTCCACACTGTTTTGCAGTGGAGTGCCAGTGATCAGCAACTTGTTTTTGGTACTGAATTCCTGAGGGGGAAAATAGTTCATTATGGCAAATACATACAAAATGAATGGGCAACACACTATTGAACAATAAAGATAACTATTTGGATATTGGTCTTACAGAGAGAGTCGTGTACAGCTGCGCCTCACTATTCTTTAACCTGTGAGCTTCATCAACCATCATATAGTTCCATTTGATCTTTGACAGCACTGCTTTGTCTTTCAGAACAACTTCATATGTGGTCAGCAGTGCATTAAACTTTGCTGGCCTACCAACTTTCTTCTCGTTGTGGAACTCATATTGTTGGCAAACCTGTGTCAGTCCAAGCATTTGCAAGAACAAATCATAAATAGCACCTTGACCAGGAAGAGATAAACTACACCAAACTAGAAGAGAAAATACAGAATTGAGAGACACAACTACAATCATGAATCCCCAAAATCCCTGAAGCTGTAGTATTTAGATATCCCAGTTTATATTAAACAGCTTGTTGTTGTTCTAACATGCGGTCGAAGGAACAATGTCAATCTATTGTCAGACTGTCAAGTGTCAATTAGGGGAACTGATTACTTTATCCAGGGACCTACGTATCCAGACATCTTATCCGCAGCAAGAACATGGATCTAGGTTTCCACACGTCATATGTTTACCAAGAACAACAAATCCTATAATAGCCAGGCGACCGGAAGTATGAAGTATGAAGCTGAAACTTCTTCCAGAAATATTAATTCAGAGCAATTACTGAAACAATGAAATTGTAATAGCCACCCGGTTGAAACAAAACAGAATTTGCTGCATTAAAAACAAGCAAAACCTTACCTCTCGGCTGGCACGCGTACCAACGTATACTATTATGTTCATATCTGGAAGCCACTTTCTAAATTCTTTCGCCCAGTTAGATAGTGTGGACAAAGGCACAATAACAAGAAATGGGCCAGGGATCTGCTGAGCATACTGCAGGACAAAAAGAGTTATGTTTACACAAGTTAAAGAAATATGCAGATCAAATTCAGAAGGTCAACTGAAAGGCATACCTGAAGAAACCCAAGCATTGAAACTGACTGCACCGTTTTCCCAAGACCCATCTCATCAGCTAGAATGACATTCGTATCATTTCTCCAGCTGTTCAAGTATAATGGAGAAGATTATAAATGTGTTGAGGTGAAAACCCAAATTCATATTCCACTTAATCCATCAATGTAAAATAATACCTGTTCACAAGAAAATTCAAGCCCTCCAGCTGATAATCACGAAGCTTTCCTCCTCTCAACCATTCAGGCTGCTCATCAAGCTTTCTCAAGCTTGCTACACATAACAATAAATCAATAATTATAATCAGAGGATAAGAGCATCAATTATCACCACTTACAATTTTAAAAACTACAGAAGAATCATTAACTAGGCTCGAGCATCAATTAATAGTTACGCAAGCTTAGGGCGAAGGTATGAGGAATGGCTCTGTAAATGCAATTGCACACCTTTGCCTTTCCTCCGCTGAAAATCCACCATTTTCCCTTGTACAGCTGCAATTGCCGCCTCACGTGCCTGCGCGGCAAAATAGAAGTAATGGACCTAACTGCTTCAGGGAAGTAAAAGGGAAGCGATGGCCAAGCTATTCCAGAACAAGCATCACTCGTGAGTGACTGGCATAGTACCTTATATTCATCTATCGCGTCTTGAGCAAATGCAATGTCGACATCCTTTTCCCTACAATGCAAGGATTTCAGCAATCAAGTAAGAACCAATACCAATGCATCAAACAATAGATTATTATGACAATAGTAGCAAAAAAATTGTATACCATCGCACAAAACTATTTGCACAACATATAATTTGCAAGGGTAATAAACCAAAAGAAACGTGAAGGAGAAAGAAATAAAATTGCCAGAAATGCAAGCTACATGGAATCTAACATAAGTTACCAGGTGGCCTCAGCATAAGAGAGTCCTTGCCACTTGACTAGATACTCCGGTATAATATTACCAGAGCTATCTTTGCTTATTCGGTCAGAAACAACTCTTTCCACCTGACATGAAAAGATAATTGTGATAGAATTGAGATCAACAGATGCGATGCAACAACAAAGAAATGGTTGAAGATTCCAGGAAAAAAGTAAAACCTGGCTATTTTGTTTTATAAGATCCAAATCCATTTCCCTGCTCACATCGTTGACCTCAATCTGAATACACCAAAAATCAAAAACAGAAAGAAAAAGCATCGGTAAGAAACTGGTGAACCAATCATCAGAGCCACAAGTAAATTGAAAAAGCAACAAAACTGAAGCTATCCAGCCATCAAAACTATTCACAAAGGCCCTTGCCCAAAGTACAACCAAGACAAGAAACTAGGAAGCCACAAGTTGATAGTCATCTATACAGCCATTGCTCTGAGCTTTAGAATAACGATAACATCGAGAAACAAACACTCGCACGGCATGAGGGGGAGCTCAGAAAATAACGAGAATTGGTGCCATGGTAGTGCTACGAGACGCTCAGCTCAAATCTGTTGCACGAGAGCCCTCAACAACATGAATATTTTCATAATAACAAAAACAAGAAGGACAGATAAAAACTCAGAAGAGGAGATTCCAACCATCATTATAAGTCATACGACCACGTGAGAATCTATCGACTACTTGATAGAATTATACTTCACCCAACCGTAAGTCTCCAATGTTTTTAGAAGGTGTATCTCCCTTCTAGACATTTCAGCAATTCTTACATCAGAGATGAGAGTTTTCAAACAAACATGCAATAAGATTACCTCTTCACGCGAAAGCATCCTCCGATACCTGATATCTTCTACTACTTTTTTGGTATAGTTCAGCACCTTCTTAAAACCGCTGAGCTGGAAAGCCAATATCATTCAAACAGCAGGAACAGACTCAAAGGAACTGTTAGACTTGGTCGTAAATATTACCAATGATGGCTAGATATGAACACCAAAAAATAACAACTCATACATTTTGTAGTTCAAAGAAAGATTTCCACTGACAATGCAAATGTGACTGTCCTTTCCACTTTATCAAGAACTCCACTTCATTCCAATCTGGCTCGGAAGTGAAAAGGTGAGTTGCAAGAACAGGTTCTGCTGATTTATTCTTCCTAAGGGCATCTTCAGCCATTCCCTTTGGCTGATGCCACAACACCTTTTCTATGGAATCTCCATCTTCTTCCTCAATTTCCTCCTAGAATTTAACACATAAAGAAAGAATAAGATAAGAATCCACAAGAAAATGCAATACATTCCAGTTCAAGATGCCTCCAAAAGACAGCATAAAAGTTCACTTATTGGCAATAGCACCAAGAATAAAAATAATACTTCAAGGACACCAAGTATATGAAAACAAGCTTATCCATCTTGGAAATATTAGACAATGACAGATACCATTCTACAAAGTTCTATAATCTACACAGGAAGCCAACCTTTTGAGATTTGTTCTTCTTTGTCTCATCAATTTCTTCACTTTCATCACTTTCAACGTATGACACCTTCCGGACTGACCTACCAGAACTACGCACTTCATTGTTTCGTCCACTAGTATGTGCCAACATAGTGGAGCGAGCATTAGACTTCCGAATATTTGCTCTTCTAGTCAGACTCTTAAAGTCTTCATCACTCTCACTCTCAGAATCCTCAGCAGAGAACTCATCCTCTTCATATGATGATTTGCCTCTTCTAGGCCGTGCTTGAGTGTGTGTGGGCCTGCGCTCTCTTGCAGATTTTGAAGAACGTCCGCCATTACCCCGTTGTCTTCCCTTAGGCCTTTTTGTCTTATAAAAATCATCATCGTCATCATCATCTGAGACATCCAAATCGTCATCAGCATCATCCGAGTCAGCACCCCAGTCTTTATCCTAGGATCATCAGAGAATAATTTATCATTATGTTCCACAGAAGAAAAACTTCAAGAATCAACAAAACAATAGGATATGCAATATGCAAGCTTTCCAGCACGGAGCAACAAGCAATTAAACACAAAGTTTCATTAAAGAAAGATGACAGATCTTGAATCAAAAAAAGAAGAGCATGCACGCCAATAAGTAAGAAAAATAGCAAACCCCACTGAGCGACAATAGTCGAGGAATTCAAACTGATGATCATATATATGTCTTATCTTAGAAATAGAACCCCAATCCGCGTAAACTTCTCGGACTGGGATCAGGTTGATTTCCAAGTTTCTCACATCATAAAATCTTTTAAAATCCAGCACTTATATTCCAACCCACCAATGCACATGCAAGGAATAGAAATATCAAGCAATTATAACCCAACCACCAATGTTTAGGTACTAAACATGGAAACAGGTTTACAATTAATGGCAATGAAGCATCACTAAAGTTGATTTTATCTTCACCCAATATATCCAAATAGATAAGTTCCTAGACAGTAATTGCAAAACTGCAATTACATAGCGCAAACTGATCATCCAAAATGAAAAATATAAACAAAGAACGAAAATTTGATATATCAAAAGGAAAAGACAACATAGAATTGATTGCTCAATTGCTTCAAAAAAAACTATTGCTCTGAAGGAAAGGACATTTACATATTAAGGCACATAACAGAAGAAAATTCCACATGGTTCAAATGTGCGATCCATATCTTCAAAATGCAAATCAAAGCAACTCCCCATAAACCTGGGGTTCATATAATTCACTTTGCCAACTTCTAAGCCTAGTGCATACTGCAACTGAATAAACTCATTTCCGCATCAACATACAGGGTCGTTAATATTTCATGCATGGTAATTGGTTCAATCACAGGTTGATTATCATAACAACTGCCATATAGCATAGGTCCCATAAGAACTAAGAAGTGGCAGACGAGAAATAGGAATCAAAATGTAAGCTATGAAATTGAAAGTGATGCTGACCTTTTTCCCTGGACGAACACTAGTGCCACCATAGTTTGGGTCAAAGTCAACATCCTCTGGGTCGTCTTCTGCAATAAATAAATAAATAAATAACATAGGTTTAGTCCAAGCTCCCAGCGCATCAGCTTTTCCACAAACAGAGTTATACTGAAGCACAATTTTGTATGACAAGCCCAGTAAGATTACAAGAGAATGTAAGCAGTTACCATCGTCCTCTTCCTCATAATCAGCATCACCCTCATCATTGTCATCATCTCTATTATTCCGCATAGCTCTCGAACTCCTGGACGAATTGTTATTGACAGGCGCAGGCTTAGACGGTTGCCTAGAATTCAGACCAGCTGAATTGCTAAAACCCTTAAAGTGAGTCAAATCAGTTGGATCTTCCCCATCCTGCTCGTAATATTCATCCGACAACATCTCATCAGCAGGAACATCATAATGTCCCTTCAAATCTCTATGTGATTCTTTTGCCTCTTCATCATACTCTGATTCTAACCTGTCATCCTCGCCATCTGATACATTATCGTCTGAACCCTCGACGTGCTTGAAGTCTGATTTTGAGTCCTGCCCCGAATCAGATACCCCCTGAGCACTCATAGGTCGGCAATCTTTCCAAAAACTTGAACCCCATTTCCCAGACACATTTCCCTTTCCAGAAGAAGGCTGAAAATGTGAATTACTTGCACCAGCTTCATGGTCAGGAGCTCCATCATCCGGCACCCTACTCTCCCCTAGTTCAGTCTCACTTTCATACCGTGGATCGATGTTCATATCGAATTCTCTTTCACTGGAAGTCCCATCAACATCCTCGCTTCCAACCATTCTACCAGGATTCTGACCCTTTTCTTCAGCTCTGTTTGAGATTGTTTCAGCAGAATAGTTCCTAAAGAAGGCCATTGTGGACCATGGATCCTATATGATAATTACTCCACACGTAAATTAAACTATCTTGAAGAGCCAAAACCTGATCATCAAATAAAAGAATAAGTGGCTTCAGATAGAAGGCAATGAACAGGAGAGCAAGATGAACTACGTTTGCTTCTTAGTCCATCAATTCAGAAGGTACGTAGAACATAAGCGTTTGCAATAGCTTCACATAAGAGGGCAAGAGAAAGAGAGTAAATACTCTGTGGGTCAGCCGGCACAAAAATGCAGAAAAGCTTGAAAACATCTCGTAGGATTGGATACGAAAGACAAACGTTAGGATGGACATTGACTTCTTGAGATCAGAATCAACAGCAACAGACTAGTAAATCACAGAACAAGTGCTCGAGAAGTGGAAACGAAGTGAGAACTGGAGCAATCATGAGAACTACTGTACTTCACACTGACGACCGAATTTGGCGCAAAATTCAATCGCCACGTAAATTGCATCGATCCCAGGGGACAAAAGGCTCGCTACCGTATCACATAAAGGATAAAATCACATCAAACACAGCAAGCTGCAGATCCACTAGCTAACAAGCAATTCCAAATGAAACAAACACCTGAGGACTCCCAAAACCCAATCCCGAAACCCTAATGTCGCACAACGACCCCAAATTCGGAATCGGAAACCCTAAATTGACGACAATCGACAGAAAAATGCAAAAATCCGGACGCGGAAATGCAAACGGATGATTGAACGCGAGGCTGACGTTCCTCGGACGACGAAAGTGGACGGAGGCGTCCTAATTAGGTCAAATGACTCCCAAGGAAAACGAGAGAGCGGGACAGTTTGATGATTGCGCACACCTTTGAATCGCCGGTGAGGCAATCGGCCGGCAGGCGAGGAAGGAATTTGGGAAAGGATGGCGAAACGACGTCGCGTTTTTTCGGTTGGTCTGAGTCTCGGTTTTTCGGCTTCGTTTAAAAAAAACTTCGCCGCGAGTTTCGATGTCGGGGATCGGGATGGAGAATCGGCGGCGAAGGTGGTGTGGGCTGGGTATAGGTATGCCGGTGGGATGACGTTGACAATGTTTTCCGGCTGGAAGGGGAGGCGGGGGGGGGGAAGAAGACGAGGGGGTGGCGATTTCGGATTAATCGTGGATTGGCAGAGGAAAGGAGGAAAATACGGGAAATTAGAAAATTAGAAAAAGAAGAGAGGGCGCTGTGTGTGTAATTGACAAATTGTTTCTCAATAGAGAGAGAATACTTTTCTCGTTTTCTTTACCTTTTTACCCTTTAGAGATGGCTGTCGAAAAGCAGAAATTACAGGTCGCGTTTGGAGATTTAGGGGTCGTTTGGAAGTTGCGATAGTTTTGTTGACATTGTCATTATGCATGTATTATTTACAATGCATCGTTTTTTTGTGTTTTTAGCAGAAACAATACATGGATTGTTTCTGTGATGTGACAGAAACTATCACTCATTTTGAGTGATTGTTATATCTCAACTTTTAGTTGTGATTGTTGAGATAGTTGAGTTGAGATTGTTTTGTCTCAGCTTTTAGTTGATGCGACATACACAATCACACATACCAAACGTTGTATTCTACAATGCATCAAATTCGACAATACATGTATAATATTATACATGCATTCTCAACAATACATCTATTTAACAATCGCAACTTCCAAACGACCCCTTAAACGACGTTCTGAAAGGAATCAGAAACGTGTTTGTTTCTAATGAGACATTTTTGGATTTTTTTTTCTTTTCAGTCCCTCTATTTTATTTTTATTTCACTAAACTAAAAATGTACATTGATCGCGTCGAAATCTGTATACTTTACACAAGGTCGGATTTTCTTTATCATGCGTCAAGGAAACTGTCCCAATGTGACGTTATTTAGTTGAGGTTCGGATTAATCTGACGGTGGAAAAACATTTAGTGATAATTGTTTTGGAGGAGCCAAGCAAGATTTAATAAAATTGACCAAAAAAATATTAGTTATTAAGAAAGCAATTTACTTTGTACTAAGAAGTTTATTTTTTCCCAAGTAATAACAGAAAGATAATTAGAACAAAAACTACCCAAACTCTCTCCCCACACCGTTAACAAACTGACCTACAAAATCAAAAGAAGCTAACTCTAGTCGAGACATCAACAGGGTTTTACGTGCCACCCTATGGGCAGCCCAATTGGCAGTCCGCGGAAACGCCCTAAATTCTATACAAAGAGACAAAGACCCAAGGATAAGCCTACAATCTCTAAGAATTGGACCACCCACGGAATCCTTCACTGCACCAAGGCTAAGTTGACGGATGACCACAACAGCATCTCCCTCAATGATGACACGAGGCAAACTTCTAGAAGCTGCAAGTGAGGTCGCATCCCTTGCTACAAGGAGCTCTGCAAGGTACGAGTCTGAAATACCTGGATGCTGGAAACCTGAGGCAAGCCGAACATGACCGCCCGAGCCACGAACCACAAGACCAGACGAGCAACCAGAGGCTTGAACAGCATCATCAAAATTGATCTTCCATAACAAAACGTTTGGTAAGAAAAGATGAAAAGTCGTTAGAGATCGTGATGACTATTGGTTGAACAAGATGGTTCGAAGAAGAAGAGTTTCATACTGTCGAGGTTAGGGCATCACCTTTGTACGACCTTACTCCACGACTCACAACCCCACAAGGTTTCAGAGCTGTAAGATAGTAAAATCAAGTTAGCTAAGTCGTAGAGCTGCAAGGATGCACAATTGCTCTGCAATCACAACATATTATTCACATAATTGATACCCCCACATTATTGATTTTGGTTTATGGTACTGTCGAACCCACAAGGATGAAATGTTGTTCCGTGAACTTGCAAGGTTGCAAAGTGCAATGTTGCACAGCCGAACCTCATAGGTTTGCAAGGTTCCTCCGGTTTTCACGATGATGCTAACGCTACAAGTTACACTATGAGTTGACAATGCTATAAACGCCGCAATGTCACGAGGTTTCACCGCGAGCCAACAAAGCTGCGCAATGATCATGGGAAAACCCTTAACCTGCAAGGTCGCATCATAGCCACAATATCGTATTTTTCATATAACCACGAGCCTATAATGCCATAAGTTTGCATTGTGAGTTATCGAAGAAGTTGCGCCACTATCAAGGCGTTGTTTTTCGAGGAACCGAAAGCCTGTGAGCTTATAAGGTTGCAACATGACTTTCCACACCACATCTCTGCCAGGTTGAGTTGCAAGTTAGGACCATAGACCGTTGGACACCACACTATCACATTAAGCAAGAACAACCCGAAGAAACTTACAGTACAGGGCAAGAATAGATTACAGAAAGTGCATAATGACTCGTACAATGAAGTTTGGTGTTTTAGTTGTCTCGAAACCGAATTGGGTGCCCAATGCTGTGAACTTATGAGTTCAATGACAGATTGGGTGATCCACACTGTACTTTTCACTGTCACCTTTTATGCATTTCTACTCCCATTTATCACTTCAGTACCTTCATTATTATCATGTGAGTAATTGACGACTACATCAGAAAGGGTTCACGGTCTGTCATATCACGAATAACGAACGAAAGAACAGGAGTAAAAGTTCTAACTAAAATGAATCAAAATTAAGTAAATATAGAATGGTCTAGTCTTCGGTGTTGTTCGCTATGAATTCTCCACTTGCATCCCAGGGGCGGCTTTCAAACGATTTCCCAATCATGCTTCGGTTCTGGTTCACAGTCCCATCCTGGCACCGGTACTCCGGAAAGTAATCCAAGAACCCTTTGCTTCCCAGTTCTTCAATTCCATGGAATAGAAAGTTCCTAATCACGTCCTGCCATTAAAACACACCTCTTGCTGTTAGCAACTTACTACAATAACCTTGATTAACCGCTGAACAACAGAGGAATCAACAGATGCTTGTACCTTGGCACGCATTTCCCCCACTAACCTCTTCAGTACACCATGTCCTGGGTCCTGCTTTGCAGTCACAGACACGAGACAACAGAGACAAAAACGAAACAGATTAACGGAAATCTTTTATCTGCTTATCTCTGACTCAGTCTAGTGAACTTAAAGCAAAATCAAGAAAGAACTCATTACAGGAGCAAAGGAAATGTTTAAAGTTGCACCACCTTCTCAGCTCTCCATGTAAGATACCGGTGTTGCGCTTCACGATTGCTTAAAACAAGAGCGTCATCAGTTTCTTCTGCAGCCTCCTCAATCAGCTGAAGCCATGCCTAAACGGCAAGCAAAAACACATATGTTCAATTTAGGAACCTGGAGACCAACTTGCTAGACATGTTTTTGAATGTATGTATGTAGGTATGCAAAATCCCCCCCACCTTGTAGTACTCTGTGAATGCAGAATACAGATTTTCGTACATGCAATCAACCGACTGGAACTTGGTCCATATCACAATCGGCGAGAAGAATTTCAAAGACTCACTGGTCAGCTTGCCTCCCCATGGTAAAAGCTGCATGAAATCTGTGTTCAGTGCAGTCGAGCCAATACAAATTGAACTTTAAGGGTCGGTTGATTATGAAACAAAAACAAATCCTCGTCGTCATAATACTCAAACGTACCCTTCAGATTGTTCTCACCTCGGCATACCTAAGACCTAAATCCATCAGCTTCTCATAGTATTTCTCCTTGTAGTCTTTTCGATCGCTGATGTTATGCAAAGGGTTGAGATCTCTACAAGTAAGCAACAATCACATTGATCAGAAAGTCCAGAATCAAATAGCTGCCACAGAACAAAGAAGATGGATATTGTGAGAACTTACAGCACAATAATGTTGATGTTAGCAGTGGAGAAGAAGTTGGCACAGAATATGGGCACATCATATTCTGGTTTGGCAAACCCAGCAAAGTCCAAAACCTGGAAATGAACATTTGGTTAATCGCGGGGAATCAAATGAAGCGATCAACTTAGCAACAGCAGAAAATGAATACATTGATAACAGCATCCCTTTAAAACAAGGACAGCATAACAAATCCATGTTTCCTTCCACATTTCAAGACCTTGTTCTGGTCAGATTTCTAGTCTAATTTCGAGAAACCTAATAAGTTCTACCCCCAACTGAACTATGTATCATCCCCTTCGAATTGCTTATAACAGACGACTGAGAGCAACTGACTCTCACATTTCAAGAATCAAAGTTGGTATCACAAAGGAACTAAGGCTAATTAATTATCTCAAGCTTAGATGAAACTTTGATTTGCATCCTTATACTTCCAAACGAGGACACGGCAGCATGAAAAACAGCAGCAAGTTCTTAGTATCACAGAACCATTCGTATGACTAAGAATTCGGCATGAATTATGAATTGACCACATTCCATTGCACTAACTAACCTAAAGACCAAGAATGAAGAGTCAGCCAACCCGCGTTCTTATTATTTACCCTAACTTCATCCCCATAGCAAAAGATAGATAAAAAAGAACAGTGCTTTCTTGGGTAATCAATCTTTTCAAACACCAATTACCTGCATAGATTCATTCTGGATGCTCAAACTTCGCAGTAGCCTTATCTTTGGAGGAGATTGAAAGGCGAGCATTTGAAGATCGGTCCTCCCATCTATTGCAGTGAGGGAGCTGTACTTTTCCTGGTCAGCAGAATTATCATTTTTTACATTAATGAGCAATGGCGAAATATAAAGCTTTGTTTAGGTTCTAGCAGCAGCATCAAGTCTAGTGTAAAAAAACCCATGCAGTCTTTTCGAATAAAACGACAGGGACACTGAAGCAACTTTCTGATTCTTAGTTTCTAGTTAACATAACAGAGGTAGGGAGTTGCAGACCTGGAGAGGAGATGGGAGCAGAAGGGTACGGCGCTCCGTTTCAGTGAGAGCGAAATTGAGGAATTCCCGATAAGAGAATGAAGAAGGAGGAGGAGATGAAGAAACGGAGATCCGAAGTGGGTGGTGAGGGTTGCTCTGTCTGTTATTGTTGCGGCAGCTCCAAGCGGTGGGATGCAATTGGGAGTAGCTGAGGGACATGGTACTAGAATAGCTGGAAGAGGAAGGAGAAGTAGAAGGTGAAGGAAAAAGAGATGTGGAGGGAAAAGAAGCCATAAATGGAATTAGTTCAGTGGGTGGAACTGGAACTGTGGGAAAGTAGCAGCGTAGCTTGCTGATTGCTAACTCGTTTCGTTTTACCTTTCTTCACTTTTTCACTATTTGCTCTGCATTTACACTTGCTGCTTTTAACTTTTTACTTCCGGCGAGGAGCGCGGCGAAATCAAAGAGCATCGCTTTCAGAGATGGCAACAAAACTCAAATTCACCCGTATCCACCCGATTCAATTCGGTCAACGCGGGTAAAATCAGTGTTTACAGGTTTTGGACCGGGTTTAGGTTTAAACTCGTTTATTATTCATCGGATTGGGTTGGGTTTGAGTTGAGGTAAACCCGACCCATGGGTACCCGCCCACACCCATATAATTAATTTTCTCAGTATATTTAATATTCTAAACAACTAATTTTATTTATTTTTGTGGAGACATGTTTAATTTTTTCTTTCTAATTGTGTAGAATGAAGTTGATGTTATCGAGTGGAGAGTGAAGAAACTTAATTGAAAGGAAGAAGCTTCAATTAATCATGTGATTTATTGATAATTTGTGATTTGCTTCAATTTTCTTGAGTTTTCTAGATTGGTGTTGAACAATTTGTATAGTTAATTTGTGATTTGCTTGAATTTTCTAGAATGGTGTTTTAAATATGGATAATTTGTATTAAGAGATTGATATTTGCAATGCTGTCAAAGCCGAGCCGGAGTATGACCCGGTAACGTGAACGGCTTGGTCATTAGCGGTCCAGCCGACATTAGACCGTTTAAAAACCGTTTGAGAACCGGTACCTAATAAACAGTCATCTGTAATAGTAGACACTTCTTAATCATGGTAAACCACAAGTAAATTACTCTCTTAAACCATTCTAGAACATAAGTACCGAAAGATCTAAAATTCAACAAATGTATTCATGACGAATCTCTCTTTCAGCTTTGATATCTCTTTCTCTTTTTACTGGTTGAGCCACATAAGCATTAATCAATCCATTCGAGCAGGGCAGTTTTTGATAGGAAGCTTGTAAATCAACTTACCTCGAGCAGGGCAGTCTTCACGGCGATTGCTTGCGAGGGCGACTGGCGACGATGGCGACGGGACGGCGAGCTGCTTGCGACGGCGAGATGGTGGACGGAAGCGCTTGCGAGGGCAACTGGCGACGGGACGGCGAGCTGCTTGCGACGGCGAGATGGTGGACGGAAGCGCTGGCGATGGTGGACGGAAGCGCTTGCGAGGGCGACTGGCGACGATGGCGACGGGACGGCGAGCTGCTTGCGGCGGCGAGCTGCTTGCGATGGTGGACGGAAGCGCTGGCGATGGTGGACGGCGCCGCTCTCCCTCTATTATTTCCTTTGTTCAGGTCGAAGAACTGGAGAAAGAAAAGGAAAGGTAGGGTTTTCAGTTTTGTTTGGCTGGCGGCTGCCCAATTCCAATTTTTTTTTTTTTAGGGTTAATTAAACGGCCGAACCGAGCGACCGGTTCGAGCGGCTCGAGCGGTTAACCGCTTCGGCCGCTCGCCGGCCGCCGTATTAAACCGTAGCGGCTAAATAGCTGATCCGAGCCGGTTTTGCGGCCGGGTGGCGGCTTTGGCGGTCCGGCCGGCCGGCTCGGCTCGGTTTTGACAGCATTGGATATTTGACTTTAAATTTGATAGGAACTTGTTATTGTAATTTTTTTATGACAAAAACTCGTGGGTACCCATGAACCCGCAGATACCCAGCGGGTTGGGTTGGGTTTGAGTTTTTCAAACCCAATGGGTTTTACCCCTGGTTTTTTTCACGGATAAACCCATGGGTTTGAGTTTGGGTTTTGCAAAACCCGACCCATTGTCATCCCTACTCGAAAGCCTGTTGGTGTCCGACTCGGCATTGAAAATTTTAACTTTAGCTGCAAGTTTATAGGGTCCATTTAGACTCTCCACAATGTAAGTGGGTTTAGGGGGGAAAGTGGAAAAATAACCCACAATGTGGGTGGGAAAAGTGGAAAAGATGGAGAAAGGGGGAAAATTGGGTGGGAATACCCACCACTAGCAAACAAATGGTGGATGCAAGGGAGGGAAGAGGGGCCCACTGTCGGGCCCGCATATAATTTGTTTTTTATTTTTTTTTGTTCTAATTTATTTGTTTTAATTTTTTTTCTTTTATTATGAGGTATTTTGATTAGTTTATCCGCAACGGACAAATTTAATGACGTTATATTTAATTAGTGAAGAAAAATATTATGTCCAAATTAAAAAAAAATTATATCAAAATGTTCGTATTAATTAATTATCACTAACTACATAAAAATAATGATCATTATATAAAAGTAAAGTGAAAAAATCAACTGTAGATTGATTTTAACAACAAAGTGCTAAAGCAATTACATACTTTTTCCATCCCACATTGTGACCAAAACATCATTTTTTCCCTTTTCCCTATTTTCCCACTTTTTCCTCCCACCCACATTGTGGATGGTCAGGAGGGCTAAAAATGCTAATTTAAATCTCCTTGTTACTACCATAAAAGAAGTTTAAGTTGATGATATTTAATTTGCATCGAAAAAATAAGTAGTTTTGTGATTTTTAAATAGTTGTATTGTTGTTAAACATGTATATGTCATATCAGCTAAATGATGAGACAAAACAATTTTAATTCAACTATTTCAAATATCTCAGCTAAAAGCTGAGATATATAATAATCATCAATTTTGAGTGATAGTTTATATCACATAAACAATATATGTATTATGTGCCCTAAAAAATCAAAACGTACGATGCATTCTACACAATATAAGTATAGTAACAATATCACAGAAACAATCACAACTTCCAAATGACCCTTAAGCTTTAGTTCACTCCGATTGTGTAGCTTCAATCATGCAAAAATAACTTCCATGGCAGATAATGAGGTAGACATGGATTGCAAATTAGTCGAGTCAAGACGAATTTTGACCTACTTTGAGTTCAACTCGTTAATAAATTAGTCGAGTTTAACATCAGCTCGTTTACAAAACCTCGTCACATGTTTGACTTGAGCTCCACTCATTGATGAATAAGCACACTAGTTCTACTCGGGCTTACGACTCATCAATCATCTCGCAAGCTCGGTTGAAATTTGAGTATGATGTTATATATTTCACATATTTCACTTATCCATATCAATTATTTAATAGTTACTAGTCTCTATGCAATCTATCATACATAGAGTAGTGAACATAATAATCTGGCGAGACATACAATCAAACCAACATATGAGTTATCAACAAGTCAAGTCATAAGTTATACATTGATTCAATCATAAGTCACAAGGCGAGTTGGCTCGCTAGCAACATTGTGAGTCAGCTCACAAGTTGAGCTCAACAAGTCACCAATTTGAGTTGGCTCATGGTGAGCTGAACAAATGTAGGTAAACTAACAAGTCGAGTTTCATATGAGCTTTTCTCGAGCCAAACGACAAGTCGCTCGTGTTGCACTCCTAGACATTGGGTGAGTTGGATGGAATGTTGCTCTAAAACAACTGCACCACTTACTAACGAGTTGATATAGTTGTCAAATGTCATCCGCCCACATTTTCTTTTGTGGTGGGTTTGATAGATGGTTGGTGGTGGGTGCGCTCGCATTGCAGATTGGCCCGCAACAACAATTCTCCAATTGACTATTAGGTAGGCTGTCTAAAATTTTCAATACATTCCATGTAAATTAATAATATGGCACCAATTTAATTAGACACATCTTGCTTTTATTCCTGTTGATCCATCAGTAATTATGGTGTGCATTGTTTTTTTACTATGCATTTCATCTTTTCATTTGACCACTCTAGATGAAGTATTCGTTAATAAAGAAGAGCAAGTTACCAACCACATATCCTTATGAACCAATATTCTTCATGCATGTGGATCTCGTTTCCTTGAAAAAAATATCGATCATTTTACTAATTCATCAACTAGTAATACTGAAAATTGGCGTTTGTTGTCACTTTGATACAAATGATTGTTTGTACTTTACATTCCAATATCTAATAGATATTAGTTAACATAATAATCAATACCAGTAGTACAAAAATATTTTGTCTCTTCCGTTGTTGAAGTCGATTATCACTATGGTGAGATTAGGATATATATATATATACAAGGGCACTCTAGTAGTATGAAAAGAAAAGATTCTTTACGATGCGATTGTAAGGTGTGAGTTACCGAGTGACCTGCTAACGACCACCACCCACTCGCATTAGTGTGAGTATGAGATTTACGTACTCATAATCCATCCACATCAGCCGGTCCGTACAATGATTCAGATTTTTTGTGAACAAGTTTATAGCAATCCGCTATTCAACCACCCGCTTGATCATTCTAACACACACATAATTTTCGTTAAACAACATGCATCAATATTAGGCAAACCATCAACATGTACTTCAGGTCCACTCATCACCTTAGTACCACTAGAAGATGCTATATTAGATCCCAAACTCATACTTCTAGGCACCACCAGGAGATTCTGCATCAGCTTCCAAGATAACGGTTACAGGGGAGGCAAGTGATGTTGTAGGGAGCACAGGCTCATGATGTCCATAACCCTTCTCAACCCATGTAGTTTCCTGAGCTTCAGCAACCTTGCACTTAATTCCCTCACCAATCTCATGCCCATAGACCTGACATTGCAAGCATCTAGGAGGGGCATGAAGATACTCAACTAAGAGAGAAAAACGTTGTCTCACCTTCAGACAGTACTTTAATAACATCCTGTAAGGAAACATTAATTATTAGGCCGATACACAACTTAGCTACTCCAATCTAAGTCCCAAAATGCGTTGCTTGGTCCATCCACAACAGGATATCCAACACATTGGCGATCCGAGTCAAGCCATCCACGATATGATACTCCAAAGGAATACCAAGAATTCGCACCAGGGTTGGAATTGAAGCTAACTGCAGATCCAAGGGATGAATACCATGAACCCAACGCCTAAGGAAGACAGGGATGTTCTGACAGTGCCACAGACCACCTTCAAAGACCCACGTACTGGTGGGAGCTCCTCCATGACCAATAAGCAGAAGGGGAAGAAGAAGCAGGTCGATGAATCTTCTCCATGGGTAATC